TTTAAGAAGCTGCACCACACTCCCGTTTGAAAAGCATTTATATTCGTGTTAGACGCAGCAATTGCCTTTGATTTATGCTCTTACGAGCGCGATGAAAAAACACAAAACAACAAAAACAGGAACCCTTCATCCTACGATTGCAGCACGTGTATGGAAATGAACATACGCTACACATTAATAATAATAATTAATAACTACTTACACTTACATAGCGCTTTTCTGGACATTCCACTCAAAGTGCTTTATAGGTAATGGGGACACCCTTCCACCACCACCAGTGTGCAGTCCCCCCTGGATGATGTGACAGCAGCCATAGTGCACCAGAAAACTCATCACACACCAGCTCTCAGTGGGGAGGAGAGCAGAGTAATGAAGCCAGTTCAGAGAGGGAGATTATTAGGAGGCCGTGATTGGTAAGGGCCGGTGGGAAATTTGGCCAAGACACCGGGGTTACACCCCTACTCTTTTTGAGAAACAAAAAAAAAATCCTTTTTGAGGATCTTTAATAACGACAGAGTCAGGACATCAGTTTTAGGTCTCATCCACAGGACAGCACCTGTTTATAGCATAGTGTCCCCGTCACTATACTGGAGCAATAGGACCACCTATACCAGCAGGGTGAGCGCCCCCTGCTGGCCCCACTAACACCTCTTCTAGCAGCATCCTTAGTTTTCCCCAGGAGTCTCCCATCCAGGTACTGACCAGGCACATACCTGCTGAGCTTTAGTGGGTTACCAGTTGTGAGTTGCAGGGTGATATAGCTGCTGACCAATCCTCTCTAAATCAGTCCCTTCAGTTGCAATGCGCCTTGAAGCAGGCACCCCCTCACATCACTAATGTTTGCGCTTCTGTGAAAGGTAAATTCTCGAGCAACATCTGAAACTACTCCAAGGAAACAACGTGATTGATTTCGTGTGCAGCTGGAGTTGGTTTATTTTATTTTTCCTTGCTCTATTTCACTGCCATCATATCAGCAGGTGTGAGTTGTTGACTATAGAGGAACACAGTTGCTATGTAAACAAACTGGTTGCTAGGTTTTTTCTTTCCCAAGTTATGTTACAGAGGCAGTCCATTCTGCTAGGGCTCTGAATGGTTGAAAAAATAATGACTGACAGCCAGCAGCTGTATCACCCTGCAGCTCACAACTGGCAGCCCCACTGAAGATAAGGAGGTATGAGCCTGGTCAGTACCTGGATGGGAGGCTCCTGGGAGAACTGAGGCTGCTGCTGGAAGAAGTGTTAGTGGGGCCAGTAGGGGGTGCTAATCCTGTGGCCTGTGTGGTCCTAATGCCCCAGTATAGTAATTGGGACACTGTAAAAAGACACTGTCCTTCGTATAAGGTATGAAACCAAGGTCCTGACTCCACAGTCATTAAAATTCCCAGGGGGTTCTTGAAAATAGTAGGGGTGTTACCCCAGTGTCCTGGCCAAATTTCCCCCTGGTCTTTACCTCCTGGCCTCCTAATTATCCCCCTCTCTGAACTGTCTTCATCACTCTGCTCACTGTGAGCTGAGAGCTGGTGTGTGGTGAGAGTAATGGAGCATCATCCATGGGGGGCTGGTGGTGGAGGGGATCCCCATTACCTGTAAAGCGCTCTGAGTGGAATGTCCAGAAAAGCACTTTGTAAGTGTAAGGATTATTGTTATTAAACCCCCTTTTTCAGACTTGAATTTACTCTTTCAGTTTCCATTGACCCAGTGGTTTAGTAGGTATAACCTGTTTTTCAGTCACATTTAACATTTAATTTGATCTATTTTGCTCATCTTTTGATTTTGGGCTGTATTTTGGTGTGTGAGATTGTTGTTATTATCCTGAAAGACGGCTCCACAGCTGAAACATTGTGCCTCTTTTCTTTTCCCTTCAGCATGGAATAAAACTTCACTTGTTCTTCTGTACTACTGGGAAAGTTTATCCCGAGTGGGAATAACCTAAAATGGAGTACAAAGGGACCTTTTGCACGAAACAATCTGGAAAAAGAACATTCATAATTAATCTTTTAGATATACCGGGTAGGTATCATATTGACAAACAAATTGGTTTCACGCTAAGAAAGAAAGGCACAATTGAAGTAAGTTGGCAGCGTATTAACTTTTGTTTTTTTTAATCAATTTTGCTTTTGGATAGACTTTTTCTTTTGTTTGTATGTTTTTAATGATCGAATGAAACTCAGCTGGTTAGGGCTACAGAGTGCGAGGATAGGGGCCCATATATGCAAAAATAACTCGTTTCTCCTTCATGTGGTTTTTTGAGACCTTAAAAGCAATTCAACGACGTAGTCAGGATGGCCGAGCGGTCTAAGGCGCTGCGTTCAGGTCGCAGTCTCCCCTGGAGGCGTGGGTTCGAATCCCACTTCTGACAGTCTGTTTTTCCACTATTTTATCGTTCTTTTAAATTCTCCTCCCCATGCACGAATAACACGTTTAGAATCGGATATATGTCAGGTTTATATATTAGGCTAGGGTGACCATATTTTGGTTTTCAAAAAAGAGTACGGGGCGGGGGATAATCGACACTGGACACATGCCTCCAAAGTAATGAATCTTTATTACTTTTTCTAATAAAAAAAATCAATTTAAACTCTCCAGTTTTTTTTTTATTAAACGTCTTAGTAAACATTTAAACAGTTGAAGGGTTACTATTTCTCTTCCATGATGGCAAACAAAGGAAAAAACAAAAATATAGTCCCATTTTAATTTTTTTTTGTTTTCATTTTAACGCAACAAAAGTCTTAACATCTGAGGAAAATAACGAAGACGTCATAACTTGGGAGAAGTATTCATTGATTGCAAAAATGATCGATTTTTACGAAACATTTTGAAATATGATGAAACAAGTTAAACATTGTTATTTCTCACGGCCATAAATACAGCCACACACACACACACAAACTCTTTTCAAGCTACGCTGCGGGCAACACACCCAGGTGAATCCTGGATAAAACTGTCCAACCTGTTTTGCAGAACCTACAGTCGGCAGGGAAGCATCCGCGAACACAGCCTGCTGCTTCACTCGGGTACCGGGTACTGACTCCCGTGAGATCGTCCGCCCGGAGGGAGATCCCAGCCCACCGGCCAGCTATGGACGAGTACCCGTTCCCCGTCCTCTTTGACCTGGCCGACATGGAAGAGCGCTGGAAGGGCGAAATCCTGAGACACTTTCGGCTCAGGAAGCGGTCAGGCGGAGGCGACTGCAGCGACCTGCAGGCT